ACATGACAATCCCCTCCTCAGGCAAGCCGTTGACTACGTACCCGACGTGACCGACAAACACAAAAGACCTAGACACCAACTTTTTGACCCTGGGTAACCACCCCAATGACCCCCCCGCTGCCCGCTAACCTTTTCTGTTTCAGAGACAGCCAGGATCAAGAAACGAAGACAACGACACACACACACACATCCCCCATACCACACATAAACATGACACTACCCCCGGGGTTTACACTGACGAGCCGGCGAAGCAAGAAGAGCGCCAGAAGAAAGGGCCCTAGCTGGCGGGGCCCAGCCAGGACAAAAGGAGGTCCCACAAAGCGCCTACACCGGCCGCATTTGCGGTCGGGGTAGACGACGGATGGGGCCCACCTACGAAGGCTGTCCAGGCCTACACGAGATGAGGCAGGATAAAGAGGGACAATCCCCCTCGATCCCAAATCATTGAGGCCAATTTCTATCCATGGAATAATGGCGAGTGCCTCAACAATGCTTCTTGCATGTCGTTCTTTAAAAAATGTTTGTACAAACAAGTCGTCGGTGTTACCCAGATGTAGATGAATTAATAGCACAGACCAAGGCAGTGTTTCTCAAATCCCCAAAACATATTCGTCAATTCCATCAAGTGTCCTGGCATTCCAGAACCTTCACAACCCATTCTTACACGATGAGGGACATGGTTAGAGGAATCATTTTATTATTTTAAACATTTTCAAAAAATAAAGTCCGTAATTTTACAATTCGATGCCAAAGAATCCGCTACTATTCGGAAGAGCCAAATAAAATTTCAAGATAGTCGAGTTGAAGCACAATTAGAATATATTCACAACAATTACATTCCAATTGTGGATGCTATAAAAAACTTACAAAATACTACATTATCGTTAGATGAATCACTGCAAATAGTTGATGACATACAGACAAAACTATATGCCTTAAGTGCCGAGAAAAGTATTTGCGTTGGAGACAAGCTTGAAAATGAATTAAGAAAAAGTCCAGATTTCTCCAGATTAAAACATCTCCATAACAATAGCTCTCCCACGGATTCATTAACTGCTTTTAGAGATTACTTCAAATATGCACCTATAACATCATTAGACGTCGAACAATCATTTTCGTTATGTAAGAATATTGTGTCTCCGTTGCGGACATCACTTAAGGAATCTACTGTGAAGACGTACATAATGTTTCAGATATTTGCCAGAGCTCATCCAGATTTTTAATGCAGAACCGGGTAAGCATTTCACAAAATGGACGCCCCTGCTTTCAAACTGAAATGTCGAGCCTTAATAATTAATTATTGTTTTGTCTCATATGTATTATTAATATAATAAAATAAAAATTATCTATTCCTATATAAGTACATAATAAATATACTAACAATCAAAATTAGATTCAACAATTCACATTATTTACACATAATTAATGAGGCTTAGGTGTATGTCCATCAACATAAAAGTTTCTGGTAGCTTTCGGCAATTCGACTTCTAAACCTTCCAACTGTTTTGTGAGTATTATTTGACAACCTAATCTAGAATTTTCTTTTAGGAATGGAGCCATATCTAACAAGTCTTCCTCCGTTTCTGTGGCTTCTGGAAGGATATCCAAATGGTTACTCTGTACATAAACATGACATGTTGTACATGCTAAAGAAGCCTCACATGCCCCTTCCATCGGAATTTCATATCGATGAGCTAGATAAAGTAAATTGTCTCCTACTTTTCCTCGAACAAGAATTCTTTTTCCATCTTTATTGATAAATGTAACATTGACTCTGAAATGTTTAAATTTAATAAAAGAAATAGAGAATTGTACTCATATTTACACTTCATCTTCCGATTTTGGATCCTGCCATTCATATTCACCATGCTGTCTGACTAAAATTAAAATGAATATGTTAAAGAATTTTATTTAAATAATTATCTTTATCTGATTACCTACTTTGTGAAGTGTAAAAACTTCTGTATTTGTAAATGTCACTAACTTTTCGGTTATTAACTACCTTCTGTGTCCTAATTATATTTAAAATTTTGGTTAACATATCTAATTATAAGAAAAAACACATTACAGATAACTTAAGCATAGGTCGTAGTTTATTAGGTATAGTATAGGTATAGATTAGGTTTAGGTATAGGTTAGTTTTGAAAATAAAAAAAATATATAACAATAATTAGGCAATTTTTAACTGTGCTGCATAAAGAATGGTTGCCAAAAATGTTATTACCAAATTGGTACATTGAAAAATGCACCACAATTTTTAATGAAGAAGAAGAAACTTTACTGTGATTATCTGAATTTGTATTTACAAGGAACTCGGACAATCGTGCTAAAATAATTTAAGACTTTAAATAGAAATTAACATCGATTTATTTCTGCATCTTCAATATTTGTTCTGGAGATTAAACATTCTTTCAACTAAATAAATAAATAAATATTTTTATTATTATGTATTATCCTTGTCGAAGTTATGCAACGAGCAAGTATACATCACAATTTCAACTTTTGAATTATATAAGGAAAATTATTCAATAGATAAAATAATTTTCTTCAAATAGATTTAGTATAATGTAGCATTATTTATTATAAAAATATTAATAAAGAAAAGTTATAAAAAATAGTTTCAAATTTAAATCAAAATAAGAGAGTTGACGTCATGAGAACCATGTAAATTTGCCAGAAACTTTGGTAATTGCTGTTTGTGTAATATTTTGTATTTTGACTATTTTGTAATTCTGTCCTTTGTTCTGTTCTTTGGTTACAGAATCATAATATTAAAAAATAAAATATTTTGAAATTGGTATATAATTTTGAAAAATTTAAACATAAACATAAAATGGTTGTTTTTAGTACCCTAAGATCTCTTTTGCGATTACAATTGAATGCCTCAAAAAATGCGGGTGAGTATCGATCTTGTTATGTAATTTTATAGGTTATGTCGAAAATAAATTGAGCTAATATAATAAATTGGACTATATTTTTTAGTTGTTAGTCGTTCTATGTCAGAGCATAGGACTTTTCCACTTACTCCTTCTAGATGGCAATGGAACAAATTTAAAGACCTTACCCACTTTTATATTCTCATTGGAATAATTCCCTGTACCCTAGGGGTGGCATACGCAAACATTTTTATTGGTCCTGCTACTCTTTCTGAAATACCTGAAGACTATGAACCTAAATACTGGGAATATTATAAGGTAAACTATTGATGATATCCCTCCATTATTTTGAAACGTTTTGAGTTTTTTAGAATCCAGTTACTAGATTTATTGCTCGTTACATACTCACCAATCCTCAACAAGATTATGAAAAATACTTAGCTCACATTTTTATGGAAGATGAAAGGAGAAGATTAAGGTAATAATTAATTCTATGTTCTATCAAGATAAACGAATTTGTGAAGCAAACTGAAAACTTTCTATAAATCAATAGTAATGATAATAGAAAAGGTGTATGTTACCTTATATTTTTTTAATCCGATATAAACATTTGAGATTGATTATTAAATATTTAAGTAAAATGAATTTAACTAAACCTGTTCAGAATAATCGCTGACATCATCATTTTTATTTTATATTACTTTAAAATTGGTATATATGATTTCAGAATGTTGGAAAGGGACGTTAAACAAAAAATGGCTGAACGTCAAGATTATCAAGCTTATTATTACAGACCTGTTTTGGCTAAATACCACAGAGTTACGAGGGAAGCCGCTCAAGAATTGGAAAATCTTCGTGGTGATTAAAATAATGTATATAATTTTATTAATAGTAGTACCTATATTTATTTAGTTAAATAAAATTGAATAAAATCTGTTTTAAAAATGTATTTGTATGATTTGTTTGTAATAACACTTAAATATACAGGTTCGGAAAGTCCCCATGGTACATCGGCCGTTACGTGAGAGCGATAAGGTAAGTCCTAGAAATCCGTGTGATAGACAAGGATGGTTACATTGAAGATGTTTCATAATCTGAATAGTCAGTCCCACTTCTAACCTGAAACGGGTGGTGACTATTCAGATTATGAAACGTCTTCAATATAGCCATCCTTGTCTATCGCACGGATTTCTTTACTTTGTCGCTCTCATGTAAAGGCAGATGGACCATGTGGATATTCCAGCCCTGTATATTGTATTTGTGATATTTATTGAAAGAATGTTGATAATGAGAGAATTAATTTCTTTTTTTTTTGTGTTATGGAGAGGTTCTGGTTTTCTATTACATTAATATTTAACTCCCAAAAAAAATATTGAGATATTTTTTCAGCAATAGTGAGATTTTGATATTTCATTACAATAACATAATAAAATTGAATTGTTTAGTCTAGAGAATAATGTAACTCCAACACTAATTTCATTAATTTTGTCTAATGGACTATACAGATATCTATCTACCATTATTCATTCCTTTTTAAGTTTGAAAGTTAGCAGTTCAAAAAATTAATATGCACATCATGCCCTATATTTGTACTATTAATCTGACTAAAGAGCCTTTACAGTTATACAGGGTGTTCTCAAAGTTGAGTCATTTACTTTAACAGCTGGTAGAACTCATAAAAAAAGTCGATTTACCAAAAATCGTTTATATAAAAGTTGTCAAATAAAGCAATTATTAACAATTATTTAAAAAAATTTAAATTTAAAAACTATAATACAAACCTGATTTATTGTTATTTTCGACCACTCCGTTGTAAAAACAAATTGTTTACTACTGATACTGGATATATCTTTTTTTTGTAGTTACACGGTTTTGAGTATGCTTTTCGATTTGACAATGCTAAATAATTCGTACAGAAGTGCGTGACATTATTTTTAATTTGTAGGTGTTTTGTGCAATAAAAATGGCACATGTTTATGAAAACAATGAACTAGTGTGGACATAATATTAACTTACGGGGAGTGTCAACAAAATGCAGCCGCAACATGTCGCTTGTACGCGAAAGGTTTCCTTTAGGAAATCATCCGGCTCCGCGGATGTGTTTAAATTTAGTTATAATATAAATTGTTTGTTTACTAACATGTTTACAAACATCCGCGGACCCAGATGATTTCGTAAAGGAAACCTTTCCGCGTACAAGCGACATGCTGATGCTGCATTTTGTTGACACTTCCCGTAAGTTAATATTATGTCCACTAGTTCATTGTTTTCATAAACATGTGCCATTTTTATTGCACAAAACACCTACAAATTAAAAATATAATGTCACGCACTTCTGTACGAATTATTTAGCACTGTCAAATCGAAAAGCGTAGGTACTCAAAACCGTGCAACTACAAAAAAAAGACATGCCCGGCCAGTATCAGTAGTAAAAAAACAATGTATGTTTTTACAACGGAGTGGTCGAAAATGACAATAAATCAGGTTTGTATTATAAAGTTTTTAAATTTAAATTTTTTTAATTTTTATTTAACTTTTATATAAACGATTTTTTGTAATTCAACTTTTTTTATGAGTTCTACCAGGTGTTAAAATAAATTATTCAACTTTGAGAACACCCTGTATATCATAACAAACAAGTAAGATGAATTGCAATTTTTTAAAAATAATTATACCTTGGTTATGCAACATTTCCAAACAATACAAAAAAGTAAAACTTGTATAATGTAAACATATAAATACAAATTTTTGGTAAAAGAATACAAAAACAAATATAATAAATTAAGCATTTGCAGTCTTTTATGTTTCAATAAATATTGAATTTCAACAAGTTCCTCCTGCCATATTTTTACTGACATATTCAAACAATACAAAAAAAATAATACTGGTATGTACACCATCAGGCTGTCTCCTAAAAAACGCCGTAAGCCATAACTCCGTTATTTATAGTCTGATTTTAAAAAACAAAAAATTAAATGAAATGGCTCTAAATACACTATAAAGCAAGCCTATTAGAGCTCATTTACTATTTTTTTTTGAAAAGCGATAAGTAATCAACTCTTTTTTTCAAATAGCATTATAGTTTTTTTTGTTATTTATTATTGTGCAGATATATTTTCTGAATCCAACGATGTATATGAACTTTACTTTTGTAAAGCATTTATTACAGAAAAGACGACAAAATATTAGTCGATACCGCATTCGGCGTCCGGCCACTGATTCATGACAAATGTATTTTAACTAATCATCTGTGCCATGGAAAACAAAAAAATAGTACTGCAAAGCAAATAAATCTCAAAAGGGAATTTTGTAGTTAACAGAAAAGAAACAATACAATGAATATCAAATAAAAGAAAAACAATTTAATTAAATACATTAACCATTACCTATACAAAGTTCAATACGAAATAACATTGATTAAACACAAAAGAACAACAAACACAAAACAACTAAAGAAACAAATTGTAGCCGGCCTCTATTGCCTGTACTTTTTGAGGAATGTATGGCTTGAATTTGTGCTTTTTCAATACTGCATGTAAAATTCTCTTTGATGCTCTATTATTATTATTAGAAATTTCCCGAATGGAAGTTCTTGGGTTTTCTTCAACGTTAAGAAGAACATTGAGCTCGATGTTTTCATTAAATTGGAGTTCTTCTCGTTTTGGTTTCTTAAAAGCAGAAATAGTTCTCTGTAAAGGCGGACTCCTGCACCATGATTTTTTTACACCGAAAGTATACCTGAATCATGTCATTGATTATTACTCATATTTTGCACTGTTGAGGTGTGTTTCAATAAATTACCTACTGTAAATGTGTAAATGATACAGAAAGTATAATGCGTAGAAACTGGGACACGAACGCTAAAATGACATTTACTTGCTTTGTTGTATTACCTATTTTTTGTTTTCCAGGCATACATGATTAGTCAAAATATGTTTGTTGTCAATTAAGCGACCGGGCGCTAATAATGCGGTATTAACTAATATGTTCCCACTAAACATTTTTCAGTTTCTGACATGTTCCAGTTTCTTGAAACGTTTCATAAAAAATCCATGCAACGTTCTGGTAACCCAATAGAAACCGAAGATGTCCTCCTTAAAATACGTTTCCAATGAAACGTTTCAAAAAATTGGTTTCAGTAACATTCTTTTAATGTTCCATTTATGCACTCGATATTTTTGTTTTACGTTTCAGTATATTTTCAGAAATGTTTGAGTAACATAATAATTTTATTACCATATTGTTCTCATAATGCTCTCAACTTTAGATAATTTCCATTTCAGAAGCGTTTTTGAAACAGTATAAACAGTGTCAGTAATTTTTTAAATATTTCTAATACTCTTTTGTAATATTTTTATTTGTATTGTGAATGACTTAATTCGTAATCCAGACAATTTTTTCTGATTTCTCAAAAAATTTAACTGAAAAATGTTATTGTATATTAAAAAAAATAACTGCTCTTCTAGTTTGGGGATGCAGCAACTTTTATCAAGAATTTTTTTCTTTTTGAGAAGCCACTGAAAAAGTTTCTAATATGGATTACGGATTCTGCCATTCATCGTACAAATAAAAATGTCACAAAACAATAACAGAAGCATTTTAAAAAAGCTACACATCATTTTATATTGTTCAAATACGCTTCTGAAATGGAAATTTTCTAATGTTGAGACCATCATGAATATGGTAACAATGACGAAATGATAATTAAAAAAATTAGTTATGATAATGAATCTTGAAATGGTAGGTACATGAAAAACAAATAACATTACTGCAAAATAATAGAAAGAAGTTACAATTTCTTCTACGCATAGTCAATATTACATCTAACCTTTTTATAATAAATTTTACAGTAGAAATAAATAAGATACAAAAGGATATCTTGAAAAAATAAATATTTGTAGGTATACTTAAACTCTTTTATTTAAGCATTCCTATACACGTACACAAATATAAACATTTGTACAAAATATAAAATAAATGACATATATTTCACTTGATTCTTCCGTATTTCAAATAGTTCTCCGAAACGTATAGTTCCATGTTCCATTTTTTTTTAGTTTTTGTCCTCTTACTTAATAAGTATTAGGTAGTGGGTATAATAACTATGTTTAGGTAGATGTGACGCAAAATTCGAAATATCTACACATATCGTTTTAAACATTTTGCATCAATATTCATTATTTTATATGCACCTTACAATAACCACAACTGCACACACTATAAATTATCACATAAAATAGCATCAAAGTAACGATCATGGAGACTATTCTCCCTGATAACGATGAAGAACAACTAAACCAGGCAAACGGGTAAAGGCAAACCGCAAACCTAACCTAACACCTAACATAATACGAATTGAAAACGGCACACGAGAAATAAATAAATTCGGGCTGTTACGCGCGGTCTGCGCAAGTCACGAACATACATTTTTTCTAGACTTGTGTTATAAATATGCTACCACAATTTTTT